TTCTTCACATCATAAGAAATTCAGCAGTGGAAACTCTTGCCCCATGAAAGTTGTACATGCCAAAGTTTTGCACAGCTGAAAAATAGGCCTGAGCAAGGCTATGGGAAGTAAATCCTTTCAGGGCTCCTAAACGCAAACAAGCTGCCAGTAACTCAAAAACATCCCTGATCTCCGAACGACTGGGTGCTTGCACACTACCACAGAGATCTACCACTGTACACTTCACGTATTGTATAGGGCAGATTGGCCATGGCTGAAGACAGACCACGAACCTTTGCTGGAAGACAGACCTGCCCGGGCCTTTGCTGGAGCCATTCCCAGGAGCAGCTGCTGCTCAGCAGCCAGGCCTCGATGGCACTGCACTGCCAAGGTGTGCCCCAGTGGTGGGCTGGTGAGGCAGGGGCAGGGCCAGCCCCTCTCCCACTCCAGGAGCCCACAATACGGTTTTGCAATTCAGACCAGCCACTCCAGAGAGCCAGCCCAGCAGGCAGTATTGCTCTCAGAGTTGACTGCCTCCTCCATGGACTCCACCTTGCTTAGGTGTTGGATGATTGGAAAGAGAGAAAAAGGAGATGCAGAAGCACCATATGCTGAGGGAGCAGGGTGCACACAGCCCCTTCCAGAGGGTCCATCCTGCCTCACCCGACTCTTTGAGTGCTGTTCACGTAGAAGGTTGCATTGCATAAACTCTCATCTCCTCCAGAAACTGGAGGTCACAAGAACCAACTTGTCCCCAGCCAGCAATCAGGCAGGTCTGTGGCACAAGAACGCCTAACAAGTGGGAATATCGAGTCCTCTCTCCTTTTCCAGAGCCCCTCAGATGGGACGCTGCTGGTTCCCACAGCAGAATATTTCTGTTTTCCTTGTGGTAGCAAGGGCATAAAGAATTTGTACAATTGCAAGGAATGAAGAGCTCACACTGTCACAGGGGCACATGTAAGAAGGCACAGCCTGACTCTGACACAGCAAGTCTTTCCACTTCCATGCCCTCTGCTGATGGTGAAGATAATGACATCGCTCCACCTTTGAGAGGTAGGGCTCACTCATGGAGGGAACCTGAAGATGTGTGTTGGAAGTGCAGGCCTCAGAGCTGGGGGGCTCTGAGCCCTGCAACTGCCCAGGCTCTGCAACACAAACCCTTCCCAGATCCTGACACTTTACGAATGGCATCTTTTGGCCAGCTGCCTCTGGATATCCTCCCACAGCTCCAGCCCTTCACCCCAGACATTTTCACACCTCATTTTCGGTTTTTGGTGGTGGACACTCAAATATGTCAAAGCCATTGGACAAGCGCATTTGCTCTTTTTTCAGCAATATCTCTTCCTCTTTTAGCTGGTTCCTGCTGTCTCGAATCTCGCTCCGCTTCTGCTTCTCCTCCAGTGGCATCCTTCCTGCCCAATCGCAGTTTTGGCTTAGGGCTGTAGTTTTCTGGAGTGGCTCTGGCTCAAGAAACTGCGGTAAGGAATTCACAGCTCCAGAGCCTGGTCTCAAGGATACCAGCAGAGGCCCTACAACGGGAGGCAGGTGGCTGGTTAGCACTCACAGACCACACTCAGAAATCAGCAGTAAGCAACGCATTCAAACAATCTGCAGGGATAAATATGAAAGCACTTGACGGGAGAGGTTTCCAGAGTTCACAGTGGGGACTGTTTTAGCCACCCAATTATTTTGCTTTATAGCTATAATTTTTATGTGTGTCATTTTCCTCACTTCCTACCTCTCTGGCAGTTAACAGGCCAGAGAGCCAGTGGCAGCTTACCCAAGCCCCGGGGAGCTGAAGGGCTGGGCTGCTCTCCATGTGCTGACCTTTGTTAACTCCGTTCAGCCACTCTTGTGCTGTCAGCGCTGGCTGCGCTCCAGTAGTCAAGGGGTAGATGTCTTCCTGGTATGACTCCGACTGCAAGCAAACAGGAAGTCCAGAGTCATTACTTCAGCCCCTGGGTACAGCGAGGTTTGGCACTGTGCCTAAAGGGACCATACCTGCACAAGGCAGAGAAGGTCACTCGTTCCTACTTCTGGGCAGGGAGGGTGTCACGAGCACTCATCAGCATGGATACAGACTCTTCTCACCCGCCCTGAGCCTTCCTCCTCCTCACTCAAATCATTGCTTGGAAGCACAAAATCATAAGGTGGCTTGAGGGAAACTGGCCAAGGAGATAACTTTGGAGGAACCTGCACGACTGGTGGTTGCAACAAGCCTTGGTTCTGCTTAGGGTACTCACACCTTCCAACACTTCTGGAAGAGCAGGGCGCACTGCTGACATTTCTGATGTACATCTGTTCATACAGCCATGTGGTGGCTACCTTGGCTGGCTACATATTCACGACCTGGGACATAGGGACTGCTGGAGTCGGAAGCTATTGTGACTGTGGTTAGCTGTGGCCAAATCTACGCAGAGCTCACAGACACAACATACAGACCTGTCTTGCTTAGCAAGACACCAGGCTATCCAACCCTGGCTCTCTGGCCACACCAGCTCAGAGCCTGCTGAGACTTCCTTCTACAGCACTCACAATGCAGTGGATCATGTTTTACACACTGCAGAACAACTGCCTGTTGGGCAGATGTCTCCTGGGCCCACTGGGTACAGAGGGGGACGCACGCCGTTCCTTCTTCCCCAGGGAAATTTTTCTTCCTTCCTCAAGGAGCAATTCATGTGTCACTTAACATTGCCCCCAAACTCCTATCTCCTTTTTGTCATTGCGACAAACAGATACCACTGACCGAGGAGGTTTACAGCCAGCCAGTTGTCGACCTAGCAGTCAGAGAGATCACCAGTCACATGCAGGCAGAGCAGTCTGATAAGCATGTCTTACATAGGAGAACTGGCCACGGTAGAGCCATAACTTCTGAGTTACACAGCCAGGACTCACTGGCAGGGCTGCTCCACAAGTTGCTCCACAAGCTGCCCAGCTCTGTCCCTCAGCCCAGGAAAGAGAAAGTCCCTCGTTCTACCTGCTCTCCTGACCCCCAGGAGTCACAGAGAGAAGACACTGCCCTCTTGTTCAGCAATATCTGTCCCAGAAACAGGTGTGACGTGAGGGTAACTCACCCGTCGAGGCACAATCATGGAGATGGGCTGAACCAGACTTTTAGTTGGGATCAGCTTGTAGAAACGGAAAATCTCACAGGCAGAAACTTCAAGGCCTCTCTTTGGCATTATTCCTGACGGGAGAGCACAAGAAAAATGGGGCACAAATCTTCCTAGGAAAGTTAATGTCATCCACAAGGGAAAAAAGTGCCACCAAACAACAGGAGGAGTCACAGTGTCAGCTCCATGGCAGGATGGTCTAAAATCTCTACCCCAAACTGGCTCAGCAGAACAAATCAACAGCTGAGAGTCATTTATTTCTGTCAGACCACATGGTTATGCACAGTGTCTGTGTTTCCCATGTTAAGCCTCAGGATCCTTATTTATTTTCATAACCTGCAAATAGAGTGACCAGTACTGAGCAGAACAGGTAGGTGATGCCACAGGATTTAATCATCAGGATCAGTGGGAAGGGATTTCCAGATACCTAGACAACACCAGAATAGCTGTACTGGCCAGAGCAAAGGTTCGTCCAGTTCATCATCCTATCCCCAACAGCGGCTCAAAGCAGGATTCAGTATGAGAGTGTGAAAATCTGCTCTTTCAGACAACAGCCATTTGTGGTGATTCAGGGAAAAGCCGAGCCAGACATGGTGTCTAAGTAGTCAGTACCCTCAGTAGCTTTCTCTCCTACGAGCTGGTGCACTCAAAATCCTCAAAGCATGTCAACTGCCTTAATAAAAGATACTGCCTCTCCTTACAAAACTTGCTTCACTGAGTCCTGCAGAAGCTCCGCTTAGTACTAATACCAAACAATTTCATTAAACAGTAGATTCTACATGAAAGACTTGCTCCTTATGTCAATGTGTTCAGCCAAATGTGACTCTAAAGTCCATTCCTCTACCTTGTACTTTTTTTTTCTTGGCAGTATTGGGAAAGAAGATATTCTGCAGGAAATTTAGCAATATTTTTGATCAGCTCAGCAAATTGCATCAGTAGATTTGATACACTCAGGCCTTTTAAAAGCACTTGTACAATTCCATTTAATGGAACAATTAAAAAAAAAAAAAAAACTATGAGAACACAAAATCACGGCACTGTATATTGGATGGATTAAAAAACCTGACTAAAGGAGAGATCTTCCAGTTCAGCTGTAAATGATTTACTTCCTTCCAATAACAATTTTCTGGAGAGGTCCTGCAAGCAAAAAATCCAGGGCAGTGGCTGCTAAACATCTGTATGCTTAGCAATCTGTCAATATCCTGGAAGAATGTGAATGTCTACAGCTAGTATGGACGGGTAGCAAATTATCCTAAAAATACATCATTTTACAGAGAAATTTCACTTACAGGATAAACAGGAGAAGGTTCAAGGAAGAACCACCAAAAGGGTCTGAAGGCTGAAAGCCAATTCTGTAGTTTTAATAGGTTGGGGTAGAATGCAGGCAGGTTAATGAGCAATGGTCTCCAAAGGAGGACAGGTGACCTAATCACAGCAGGTCCATCTCTAACTGGGAAATGCCCATGTGGGAAAAGTTAGGCAAAAGATAAGAGCAGAGGCATAAAGATATGGGGCACTCATCACGCACTGAGAAATGCCAGAGTGGGAACAGTATCAACATTATCAACTGAGTTCAGTGCTGTAAATGGGGGGACAGATTCCCTAC